TAATTTACCATAAGGTGAGTTTTATTTTATTTTATTTTATTTTTTTTTAGAATTTTATATTAAAGTCAACTGGTATTTGACTTGAAATATTAATCGCTAACCAACTTTTCGACTTTCTATCCTTATTCCTTATGCAGCAAAGTTATTATATCGTAGAATCTTGAATGTTAACTTTTATATTATCATTGTTTTGCAAATATATGTGATAGTCTTGACAATTAAGTAGGCTTTCGTCACTTCTAGGAAGAAAAATTTTTATTAAGTTGAAAAAATAAGGTGCATTTTTTTTTTATTCTGCATAGTGAAGGTAACTCCTAGTTGACCGCGTCTTGACTCAGGAGAATTACTGAATTTGATAGCTTGGTATCCACTCCAAGTCCTCAATTCAGCGCCCTAATTTTGTTGTTAATAAGAGTCTACTGATCCAGAAGGAGGAATCAGTTATATTCTCTTATTACTATATGCATTTGTAACCTTAAATTTTTAACAACTGTTAGGATCAGAACGTAAAAATGAATTTGAAGTCTTATTGGTCAGAGGCGTTCAAAATATACAGAAAGGTAAGTAATACATTATGAAATCTTGTGTAAGTATATTTTACTAAGCTAGATATTTATACTATAAAATTTCAAAAATGAAAACAGAAAGATAAAAAAGATTTTAGTAAGAAAATTTAATGAGATTCAGCTTATCCTTTGATAATTGTAATTGTTGTCTTCATTGTTTTATGTTTATTATTAATTTGTACGCTACTAGCTTTGAAGTTTATGAAAAAAATGTAAGAACATGCAGTATTAAATTTTATTAGTCAAGGCCAAACAGTACTCACTTTCACAATAGTTTCATATCCTAGTATCAGAAGTTGGATAACTAGCATAGTGATCAGTCCATATCAAGAGCTAAGTTCTACTATGCAGACCCAGCAGAAACTAACATTTGAATTGGTGAATAGAATCTTAGTAGGTGAATTTGTGGCACTCCACAGGAACGTCTGGAAAGCCATTATGAGTATATCTTACCATGCAGTGGTTAACAGAATGACATGTCATTGCTAGCACACAGACAGCATAGCACAGCACATTTTCTGATCTGATATAGAAATATTTAATTATTCTTTATTTAATCGCCCAGCTATAAAGTCTGGAAAACTCCATCGTCATCTTCGTAGATGAGTTTGATAGATTGTATGGTGCAATTAATAAAGTTCATGACGATTTTCTTGGTTGCTTTCACACCATCAAGCACGTTATAACTGTGAATTCAAATTATCTTATCCTTTCAGTAGTTGTTATAAGAACTTTTAGAATTATTGAGCTGAACTCAAGCAATAATTACGATTCACCATTCAACGTCTAAAACCCTCTCCAGAATCCTAATTTATCTAAAAAGCAAGTGCAAAAGCTTTTCGAAAAGTTCAAATTAGAACATAAGTTTAAAGTTTGTCCAGATGTTATTGAAGATATCTACTTGCAGACAAATGGATATGTTTAGCAGGCCAAATTTAGACTATAAAACCTTATTAATTTTATTTGCTATAATCTTTCTAACAGATATGCTATTATAGTTTGTCTTTGCGGGTATTTAATTGAAAAATGAACTACAATCAAGAACGTTTCATCTTTAAATTCGAAAAAATGAACTGTTCTTGTTCATATACAACAGAGTAGTTCATTTGATATTAGCGAAACTTTAATCAAGATTAATGATGTTAAAATGGAAATACTAAGATGATAATATCTTTTTACAGCAATTACCATAAGGTGAGCTTTTTTTTTAAAAAAAACTTGTTTATTTGATAAATTAAAAAGATAATTACAAAATTAATTTTTTTTTTTAAAAAAAAAAATATATTTATAAAGAATCAGAATCTTAGAAATTGAATATGAATAAAGCCAAAAGATTTTTCACAAAAATTTTAAGAAAAAGCGAATATCTTTGTCCTTGCGAAAAAATTATAAAAATTTTCTCGTAAGTAAACAAAAGTCTGATTTGAAAATTCAATTGAAGACTATATAATGACCAACTTGATATTGCCAATTAATTCATCAGACTCTTTATTACAACTATTAATACTTATGCTGTAAGTGAATTTTTGAAGAGATTCATGAAAAAAAAAAGATATTTTGGTTAGTGACATTAAATTCAGCTCATGTAAACATGCAGAAAGTAATATTTTCATGAACAAATCAAGGAAGCTGAACCTTATAAACCATAGAAAAACCATCGCAAGTGGTAGATATAATGCTATGAAAAAAGTCGAAAATGTTATCATTTAAAGAAAAGAAAATGAGCTTAACATATTCGAAAAGTTGAAGTGGTCAATGTGGTAAGAGTATTAATCTTGAACAACTGTATTAAATTATAAATGACGAAAATAATTTTACAACTTAAGAGCTTTCTTAGAAACTGAGATTCGGCCAATCGAGAAATCTGGAATATCAATCTCAAATTACTATTCTATTGTCAAAAGAGATGTTTTTTCAGAGACTTTGATACTTGTATTGAGGACTTAATTAAATATTGGATTCCGTTATCCATGTAATACTTTTTTTTTTGGATTATGCCGCAAAGAATTTGGGTAAATTAATTGATATCTGTATTTAATCAACAAAAATCCTCTAAAAGAAAAAGTAAGGAAATATGAAATTTTGTATGAAATAGAATGCAATGTGCAGGCGATTGGGAATTTAGAGTAAAAGTAATATTTTTTGAAAGAAAATATATATAATATTCAGATTACTGTTCTAATTAATAATTTTGATTTTAGTTTAATTGAATTCAAAGAATCGAAAAAATCTATTGTTTTTTTTTAAAAAAATAAATCAATAATTGATTGAAACTTTATTCGTATTTTATCAAGTTCTTTTTTTAAAAAAAAAAAATTAATTCTTTATATAATCCAAACTTCATTTTCTGATATCTGCCAGAAAGTTATGGATAATTACATAATCTAAGCAAATTTTTCTGATTTTTCGATCATAATTCCAGTTAAAATTAGGTACAGTCAACTCTTATTATAACGAACTCTATGTCCTAGACCTCAACTTCGCTATAAGGCTATAGTGAAGATTTTAAGAGATTTTATTGGTCAATTCGCTATAACAAGAGTATTTTTATTATATTTGTTCAAAAAATTCGTTATATCAAGAGTTCGTTATATCAAGAGTTGACTGTATAGAGAAATTAAATGACCCATATAATGTTAAATTTTTTCATCTTTATTAATAAAGGTGTTGATCATAATTGGTTATTTTAGCTAGATTCATCCTTGCTGCATAGCTCATACTATGATCCAAAGCAAAAACAGCTGTTGCATTAGAAAATTTTGTCTCAAAAATAGGAATTTCTTTGGATTTAATCTGTTTTAATAATCTAGTAGCCTTTTTTATTGGGTAATAGATAATAATACTTTTGTAAAAATATCTAGTTTTCTTACTATTTCTTTTTTACTAAATTTCAATTAATCACAAACTTTTAAAAAAAATTCGTCCATTATAATCAATCTTCTATTTGCTTTTTTTGAAATGACATTTTACCATCAGCTATCCAAATTCTTTTTTTATCATTTGTATAGAAGATACATTTATCATAAATACCAAGAATTAACTTTTATTTATTTGCTTGATCTAAGTACTAGCAGAATCACTTCTATTTCTTTTTTTTTTTATATCTAATAATTTGTTATTTAATTGTTTCATTATTTTTAAAAATTCTTTTCATTATGTAATAATATCCTTTTATTCATATCTATTAAAATAAATACCCTTTTAATATTCTTCAAATTGATATCCTAATATATTTAATTATCTTTTAGTGATCCTTATGTAATTATTTTTTGAATTTCTATATATTATAATTAAAGATAATTCCATAATTGTTTTTCAAATTTCAATTGAATTGTACTTTAATTGCATCACAAGTTACAACTCAATTGTGATATTTTTTAATTACTGTATTCATCTTTAGTTATAATTATCAAAACTAATATTTACAAATATATGATATTTTAAAGTTCAACGATTTCAACAAGAGCTATATTTATTTAATACATTTCTTTACTTATTATTAAGAGGATTTATTTTAGCAAATTAATTTTTATTTGTCTAAGAATTTACTTATTTATTATATTATTTTTCTTCTTTATTCATATTTATTTTATTTTTATATTCTTTATAGTTATTCTTTATTATTAATTTTTGTTGTTATTCTTTAATATTATTTTTTATTATTATTTTTATTTTATTCTTTATTATTGTTCTTTATATTATTATTTTTTATTGTTATTTATCATTTCTTTATTTATATCCTATTACTTTTATTTATTATTATATATTTTTATTTTTCAATTTTATCATTTTATATTTGTCTTTATTTCTTTTTCATGTTATTTCTTCAAATATTTTTACAGATATATTTTATCTTTATTTATTTTATCAAATATTTTTTTATTCTTATTTATGAATTATTTTTATTTCATTGTTTAAAAGGATTTATCATCATATTTCTTTTATTTTTCTTTTAAATTTCTGTTTAAATTTAAAAATTATTTTATCAAAAACCCATATTTTATTTTTAAAATTTTTGTATTTTATTTTATATTTTCTTTTACAATTTTTATTTTATACTATTCTATATATTATTTTCTTTAAATATAATATTATAAGTAATTTGATATATAAATATATTAACATATATATTTTTATATCTAAAAAATTCTTTTATTAATCTTAAGATAATTATTACATTAGAGATTGGAATCGGTTCTATTTCTAAAAACTGGTTTTAAATATTTTCAAAAAATTAAACCCAGTTTAAACTGGTTGCAATTGATAATCAGGTCAATTCGAGTGCTTGGCCTGAATCGAAACTGGTTTCAAAAATCAGTTTGAATCAATTCAATTTTAAATTTTTTATGATATTAGATATATAATCGACTTATTTATAAAGTTTTTTTATTAAATGTAAAATATCATTTTTTATTATATTTTAATTATTCTAATAGAGAAAATATATCAAAATGAACACTATTTCTTTTCAAGAATAGCATCTTATTCACTAAATCTGGAGAAAGTCAAGTTTGTTTAGCAGTAATGTGATTACCTGCATCTGAGAATAATCATTTGCTAGAAACCGATGTTGCAAAAATTAATAAATACTTTCGTGCAATTTGTGCTAAAATCGGAAAATTATTCTTGTTAACTGCCCACCATTTTAATGGATCATCATTTAGTCCAATTTTTCTTTGTTGCAAATACAAA